ATATTAAAATTAAAACTGTGTTTCTTACAACTAGATTTTTAGTATTTTGGGGGTTCTTTTTTCGAAAAATAAATGGTTGTTTTACTTTTTTACTTTCACTGGTTTCGCTTCGGATTCTAAAAAGTTTTTAACTGTTTGTATTTCCACGTGTTGACGTTTATGTTTTGAACAAATGAAAAAAAAAAGAATGAAAAAAACAATGGGCGTAACTGGCTATATATGTCGTTTATGTTAAGGAAAATCTATTACAATCTATTTATACAATGAATTAAGTATTGGTTTGAAATTGTTCATGTAATATATATATATATATATATATATATATATATATATATATATATATATATATATATATATATGAACAGATTAAGGTGGATATAAAGTATAGACTCTTCGGTAAACATCATAAGTGAAAAGTTAAAAGACAGTTTCCAAGTTTCAAAACAAATACCGAATGTCATATAAATGTTCAATGATGTCTCTCTGATCAAATGCCGGCCATTTTGCTCTGTCAGAAATTGCCAATCAAAAGAATGATTAGCCAAAGGCCAAAAAACACTGCCAAATGTGGTTCGAAAAATGTCGATATTTTGTAATCGATATTTAATAGCATCGATTACTCGATATCTAATACCAAAATCACATCTAATTGGCTTTGGTATATCATAAAAGACTGGAGATGATGGAATTAATCGAAATTGTAATTTCTCTCTGGTTAATGAATAAACACAACTACGTTTTATTAATTTTACTTTACCGACATTTTCTTAAATTCTAAAACGTCTCTTTCGCGTGAGTATATAAATACTAAATATATTGGGATGTAAAATGGGCTGCGTGAAAATGAATTGTACTTCACATTTTTCATTACCTTCCTATTATGATTAAGCTTGTACTTCCCTTCGTTAGTTTTCCCGACCGTTACGCCCTTACAATACCTGCAAAGTAATGGTCTATTCCGTTTTGATCGCGTAGAAAGAGGGGGTATATTTTATGGTTACAGTGAGAAAATGAAAGAAAGAAGAGAAGATGGAAGTGGGGGAGAAGCCGAATCGGATTAATCTGATAAGAACAGATACTACACTTTGATACATTATTTACATTATTTATTTACATTATTTATTACAACCTTTCGGCCGTTGTACGCTCCGGCCTTCTTCAGTTGGTTGGAATGTCGAACTGAACTCTTTATTTCGCTCACTGGGGTAGACTGTTCTAGTTCCACGTGATATGTTTAATGGATGTCAATTGTCAGTTATCAGTTATCTCCTGTTACTTCCCCTCTGCAAGGATCACTGGATCTAACCAACGCCTGTGCCATATAAAGGGTAGACAGGTCGCCCCTTTAAGGTAAGGCTTCGAGAACATCATAAAGCTGTAAGACGAGTAAAAAGTGGAAAAATCAGGCGTGGCTGACCACATATGGAAAGAAAAAGGAAATCATCACCCTCTGTGGGATCAGGCTGAGATCATAGACAAAGAACACCATTGGAAAATTCGTAATCTTAAAGAATCAGCACATATGCTAGACAACAAAAATCTTCTGAGCCGACCAAGCATAGAAATGAATACAATATGGCACAGTGAATAAAGGCGTTAGTTAGATCCAGTGACAGGACCAAAAGTTCAATAGCCGGTTAAGGCAGTGGAGAACTTTCAGAGGCAAATTAACAGGAGATAACTGATAACTGACATCCATTAGCCATGGCACGTGGAACTAGAACTGTCTACCCCAGTGAGCGAAATAAAGGGTTCAGTTCGACATTCCAACCACCTGAAGAAGGCCGGAGCATACAACTGCCGAAACATTGTGATAAATATGGCGACAAAGATGAGGACAATAGTCCAAATACTGTAAATAGTGTACATAAAACCTCTTCTCATAAATATAGACAGATACTGAAAGGCCGGAACGTTGTGATAAATATGGCAACAAAGATGAGGACAATAGTCCGAATAGTGTAAATAGTATACATAATACCTCATCTCAGAAATATAGACAGATAATGAAAGGTCGAAACGTTGTGATAAATATGGCGACAAAGATGAGGACAATAGTCCGAATAGTGTAAATAGACAGGCCATTAGAGCAGTTTAAATGAAAATATTTGGAGAAAAGACATAGGGAAGCCACGTCACGTCGGTGAGAAAGTTACAGATGTCGAGATGCCAAGTCAGAATCGATTACATTACAGACCCTTCTTTGGATTTTGTCAAGAATCTCGAGATGTACAGCAGCGGAACTATGACAGATATAGCAACAGTAGTCAATACCTAGACAAATGGTAGAATTATAAAGATGGATTTTAAAAAGAATGATTTTCAGCCACGATCCAATGAACCAACTTTCCTAGCAGTAGACATAGCAACTGATTCGTTGTAGTCGCTCCACTTCAGCTCAGTGGATAAGACGAGGTCAAGAAGCCGTAATGTTTTAGTCTCCTGGAGTTTTGCATCAGCCATGAGGATGGCAAGCAGAAATGTTTCTGTTCTGTGATTAACTAAAAGCAGTTTTGTTTTGGAAGCATTAACATTTACAAGTTATGTTTGCCTTAGTAAACCAGTGATTTGATGTTTGTGTTTGGATGTATGGGTTGGTGTATTTGTACATTCGCGCCCCTATATGCATTCTTATCTATCCACAGACAGACTGTTTCGCTGTATCACAGCTCTTAAGTGTGGCTAGACGTCCGATTGCTTCAAGCCGGGATCGAAACACGACTGATTTGACATCAGTCAGATATCTTACCCCTAAGGCAGGAAAGCAATTTTTAATGTTTTTCTCTATACGAAATACCCCAGCGGTTGGGAGAACTCCATTCATACTTGAAGAGTAATGCTTAATAGCAGTAGGAGCCACTGTTTTTAAAACCCCCTTCCATAGAGAGCTCAGATTTCCGGGAGCATATATATATATATATATAGTCTTTGTATCTTTTTAGCGTTTTGTAAAGAGTGTAGTTGTGGTAATTTAATTTTGTTCTGTGTGATTGGGTATTATTTGGTTGTTTATTTTTTTTCTTGTGTGTGTTGTGAAGCGTGTTTTTGTGCATGATTTTTGATATATAAGGCGTGTAGTTGTGGTTATTTGTCTGTTGGTTTTTATATGATTCGATGTTCTTTTTTTGGTTATTATTTGTTGATATTGTCGTTATTGTTTTTTTTATAGATTGTGTGATGGGGTTGATATGTATTAGGTGTTAAGTATTTGTCATAGTTTGTTGTGTTTGGGAAAAAGTTTTTCAATTATTTTGAAGAATATTTTTCCTATTTTTATTGTATTATTATCGGGTGGTTTGAACCATATTATGCTTCTTTTTCTATTGTGCTGGTTTTATTTGTTTTCCTTTGTATATTCTAGGATATCCGCTATTTATTAATGCTGTTTCGTATATTTTTGGTTTCCCTTAGATATTTTTCTGTTGCTGGAATGTGTTTATGGATATGGGTATGTGTTTAATTACAATAGGAAGGGAGTTGAGTCGAGTACTTTCGACTATTCTTTTAGCCATTATCCGGCCATTATTTATATATTTTTTTTATTTTAACTAAACGCATGGGTGTTTAGAGTGTCTAGAATGTGTCTAGAGTTATAGTAAGGTTTTATTTTCCAAACACGGTCATCACATTGTGACCGTATTCATAGTTGATGTTATTGAGTGATGGCGTTTCCTTTTTTATCATTAGCGCTTCCATTGGACGGGAACCGGAAAGAAATGTATAAACGCCAGAAATCAAAGAAAATAATAATAATAATAATAATAATGATGAAATGATTGGATTAAGTCTGATGTTGTATTATTTTGTCGGTAATCCTCTGATCAGCTTTCCTTCTGTGGGTATTAATTTCCGTAGTAATAAAAAAAGAAAAATCAATCAAACAAACAAAAAAAAAAAAAAAAACAAACAAATATATAAAATTAAATATTAAAATTATAGCGTTAAATTTTAGAAGCAAATTAATTGCAAATCGAAGATGCAGTATTTAAAAATTTGAAATATGCCTCGTGCTTAATATATGAATATATTTAAATTTAGAATTAGCGTTAAGAAATAAGAAAAGTTAACTCTGAATATATCCATATCTATCTATCTATCTATCTTATATATATATATATATATATATATATATATATATATATATATATATATATAATTCAATCATTTAAATGAAATTAAAAAAAATAAAATCAGAATATAAAATAAATAATCATAAAATATTCGTTAATGATGTCTACAGAGTTTTTGTATTATACGAGGTGTGATAAAAAAAAAATGCAGTACTGTAACGTAGTTAAAGTACAGAGAGTGAAGCCGCTTGGCACACATTGATTTTGATACTATTGCGCATGCACACTAAGTTATAACGTTTTCGCTCTTTTCCATTGTTTATAGCGGTGCTTGGAAGGAAAGTGTGTAAAGTGTGGTATGCAAGAAGCGCCAAATCGAAACCACTAAGAGATTGTATGAGCACCAGCAAGACACAATTACCCCTAATTGCGATGTAACTATCCTCTGGGACATGCCGATTCAAACAGACAGGAAATATAAAAGCCAATAGGCCTGATATTATCATAAAAGACAAGAAATTCAGGAAGTGTGTTTATTGACAGAGCAGTACCATCTGAGAGAAACACCTCCATAAACATTTATGGAGAAATTGTCTAAATACAAGAACGTGGAGATCGAGATTAACAGGATGTAAGGAATGAAGTTTGAGATTGCATCAGTAGTAATCGGAGTACTGGGCCTGCTGAGAAAAGGAATGGACAGTATTACTAAGAGTGTGCCAAGTAACATCAACATACAAGTTGCCCAGTAGATCGCCCTACTACGAACATCCCATATAGTAAGAAAAGTGCTATCAATTAAATGCCAATTCTCCTATAGAGCCTAAGGACCATAATTTAGACTCGGCTCTACAGGATACAAAGCAAGAAACATACACAAATAATAATAATAATAATAAAGAAGTAGTAGAAAGAAATAAGCGTAGATAGCTAGATATGAACAGACTGCAATAGATAGATAGATAGATAGATAGACAGATAGATAGATAGATAGATACGCAAAATCAGTTCTACATATGTTAAATATATTTTCTTCAAAGGTGAAAAATTATAATAATAAAAAAGAAAAAGCAGAAATAACCGTAAATATATATGAACAGATTGCATATATATATATATATATATATATATATATATATATATATATATATATATATATATATGTATGTATGTATGTATGTATGTATGTTGTCTTTGTATCTTTTTGCGTTTTGTAAAGAGTGTAGTTGTGGTAATTTAATTTTGTTCTGTGTGATTGGGTATTATTTGGTTGTTTATTTTTTTTTCTTGTGTGTGTTGTGAAGCGTGTTTTTGTGCATGATTTTTGATATATAAGGCGTGTAGTTGTGGTTATTTGTCTGTTGGTTTTTATATGATTCGAAGTTCTTTTTTTGGTTATTATTTGTTGATATTGTCGTTATTGTTTTTTTTTTTATAGATTGTGTGATGGGGTTGATATGGATTAGGTGTTAAGTATTTGTCATAGTTTGTTGTGTTTGGGAAAAAGTTTTTCAATTATTTTGAAGAATATTTTTCCTATTTTTATTTTTATTGTATTATTATCGGGTGGTTTGAACCATATTATGCTTCTTTTTCTAGTGTGTTGGTTTTATTTGTTTTCCTTTGTATATTCTAGGATATCCGCTATTTATTAATGCTGTTTCGTATATTTTTTGTTTCCCTTAGATATTTTTCTGTTGCTGGAATGTGTTTATGGATATGGGTATGTGTTTAATTACAATAGGAAGGGAGTTGAGTCGAGTACTTTCGACTATTCTTTTAGCCATTATCCGGCCATTATTTATATTTTTTTTAATTTTAACTAAACGCATGGGTGTTTATATATGTGTCTAGAGTTATAGTAAGGTTTTATTTTCCAAACACGGTCATCAGATTGTGACCGTATTCATAGTTGATGTTACTGAGTGTTGGCGTTTTCTTTTTTATCATTAGCGCTTCCATTGGACGGGAACCGGAAAAGAAATGTGTAAACGCTAGAAATCAAAGAAAATAATAATAATAATAATAATAATAAATGAAATGATTGGATTAAGTCTGATGTTGTGTTATTTTGTCAGTAATCCGCTGATCAGCTTTATTTCCGTGGGTATTAATTTCCGTAGTAATAAAAAACGAAAATTCAAACAAACAAACAAAAAAAAAACAAATGTATAAAATCAAATATTAAAAATTATAGCGTTAAATTTTGGAAGCAAATTAATTGCAAATCGAAGATGCAGCATTTTAAAATTTGAAATATGCCTCGTGCTTAATATATGAATATATTTAAATTTAGAATTAGCGTTAAGAAATAAGAAAAGTAAAAATGAATATATCCATATCTATCTATCTATCTATCTATATAATTCAATCATTTAAATGAAATTTAAAGAAAACAAAATCAGAATATAAAATAAATAATCATAAAATATTCGTTAATGATGTCTACAGAGTTTTTGTAATATACGAGGTCTGATAAAAAAATAATGGCAGTACTATAACGTAGTAAAAGTACAGAGAGTGAAGCCGCTTGGCACACATTGATTTTGATACTATTGCGTATGCACACTAAGTTATAACGTTTTCGCTCTTTTCCATTGTTTATAACGGTGCTTGGAAGGAAAGTGTGTAAAGTGTGGTATGCAAGAAGCGCCAAATCGAAACCACTAAGAGATTGTATGAGCACCAGCAAGACACAATTTACCCCAAATTGCGATGTAACTATCCTCTGGGACATGCCGATTCAAACAGACAGGAAATATAAAAGACAATAGGCCTGATATTATCATAAAAGACAAGAAATTCAGGAAGTGTGTTTATTGACATAGCAGTACCATCTGAGAGAAACATCTCCATAAAAAGTTATGGAGAAATTGTCTAAATACAAGAACGTGGAGATCGAGATTAACAGGATGAAAGGAATGAAGTTTGAGATTGCATCAGTAGTAATCGGAGTACTGGGCCTGCTGAGAAAAGGAATGGACAATATTACTAAGAGTGTGCCAAGTAACATCAACATACAAGTTGCCCAGTAGATCGCCCTACTACGAACATCCCATATAGTAAGAAAAGTGCTATCAATTAAATGCCAATTCTCCTATAGAGCCTAAGGACCATAATTTAGACTCGGCTCTACAGGATACAAAGCAAGAAACATACACAAATAATAATAACAATAATAATAATAATAAAGAAGTAGTAGAAAGAAATAAGCGTAGATAGATAGATATGAACAGACTGCAATAGATAGATAGAGAGATAGATAGATAGATAGATATGAAAGAGATAGATGGAAGACATAGATAGACAGATAGATAGATAGATAGATAGATAGATAGATAGATAGATACGCAAAATCAGTTCTACATATGTTAAATATATTTTCCTCAGTGGTGAAAAAATTATAATAATAATAATAAAAAAAGAAAAAAAGAAAGAAATAACCGTAAATAGATATGAACAGATTGCAATATATATATATATATATATATATATATATATATATATATATATATAGATAGATAGATAGATAGAGAGAGAGAGAGAGAGAGAGAGAGAGGGGTAAGCAAAACCAGTTCTAAATATGTCAAATATATTTTCTTCAAAGGTGAAAAATAATAATAATAATAATAATGAAAAGGAAATAACTGTAGATAGATATGAACAGACTGCAATATATATATATATATATATATATATATATATATATATATATATATATATATATATATATAATAAAAAGGCTTAAACACTAATATTCCATGGTCATAATTTATTCCATTGGAATCGTAAATACGATCCAAATCATCAGACCTACAAATTCAAAATGAAAACAGAAAAAACAACTCCGGAAATCAAAACAGAATTTAGAGAAAGTGTAAGTATGAGGAGGAGTGACATGAAACCTTAACAGAGAGAATTTTTGGAGATGTGGGTGGGGGGGATTTAAAAGAGGGAGAGAAAGAAACTCGACGGATGTCTAATACATAAAGATACATTTCGTGGTGACATATACACACCACAGACAAATCGGATAGGAAAAAAAAAAAAAAAAATATATATATATATATATATATATATATATATATATATATATATATATATATATATATATAGAGAGAGAGAGAGAGAGAGAGAGAGAGAGAGAAAGAGAGATAGATACGCAAAATCAGTTCTAAATATGTCAAATATATTTTCTTCAAGGGTGAGAAACAACAACAACAATAATAATAATAATAATAATAATAATAATAATGAAAAAAGAAATAAAAAGAACTGTAGATCGATATGAACAGACTGCAATATATCTATCTATCTATCTATCTATCTATCTATCTATATATATATATATATAGAGAGAGAGAGAGGGAGAGAGAGCGAGAGAGAAAGAGATACACAAAATCAGTTCTAAATATGTCAAATACATTTTCTTCAAAGCTGAGAAATAATAATAACAGTAATAATAATAATAAAAACGTAGAAGAAGACGAAGAAGATGAATAAGAAGAAATGTTCAAGAGAAAAATATGCCTATTGTATGGAAGTTTGAGAAACACATTTAGCTGTAGATAAATGGTAAGAGGCTATTCTGGCAAAAGAAAAAAATGCAAGAAAGTACGATAGAATAGAAAAGAAAAAAATTTAAAAAAATACTAACCGAAAATAAGAAGCTGAAGTTGAAAATGGAGAGGCAATAAACTAAGCACGCAAGCGTAGAGCAATTCACAAATACACAAGAAAAATATTTAAAGATGAGTTAAACACACATACACACACAAAATAAAATAATTTCTAAAGCCTTTGTGCAAATAAATTAACTTAAATATATATTTATGTCTGAAAAGTGTTGAGGAAAAGAAATTGTCTTCCCCGCCCCATTCGCTTGCAATTTAAAATCGATCTCATCGTATGTGATTATTCCTCGTTTAGCATTTGATTTGTTCGAACAAAATGTTTCTGAAGGCGACATTTTCGAAAAAGTAACTGGTTTTACATTTGAAAAGCCGTGAAATCTATGGCCATTATCATACGTTTCACAAGGCCGACATTTTTTTTTGTTGTCTTTTTTTTTTGACATTTTTAAGGAGGGTGTTGTTCTACTTAAATGATTTGCAACTAGCAGCTAAGGAATTTGCAAGCCGAGTTCAAATTCCGGCTTCACTGTTTCATTCATTCATTTCGAACTTATGACCTTGGAAATGACAGAATCTATTCGTCCTTAACCTTAGAATACTAACCATGGGTATATAGTACCCAGCGCAAACGTTCCTGTTTTTAATTACAATTTTCAGTACCTAATTTTCTTATCTAAATATGTTTTTTAGTTCCTATTACTGTTAACTTAAAGTACAAAGTATGAAGTACCCGCATGTAAAATATTTCAAATAAAGATTTATATTTAATATTTTTTTGATATTTTCAAAATCGGATATGATATACCCATGGTTAGTAGTGGTGTAACTTTAACTGATGGTTAGTGTTCTAGGGTTAAACCCTGAACTGGATGGTAGATTTGCTTATACAGCCTTGGGTGTTATCCAGCCTAGAAGAAGGACAATTCTGAATTAAAATTCTTAGAGAAGGCAAAGGGAAACCAACCACTATCATTCTATAGAACGTATGGAATTGCATGGATAGTACTAGAAAGGAACTCCTTTATACCGATAAATGCTTTTTAAAAATCTACAAACTTATGTAGCAGTAACTCTACCTAAAACACATTTCTAAACTGTGTAGAAACCAACCGAACACTAAAATCGAATCATGCAATAATTATCGATGTGTATTTATTTATATATTTCTTGTCCCATTGTAGTTAGAAGGGGAGAGAAATCAACTTAGGTTAGTAAATTTATGAGTTATTACTCCTCTTATTCGTTTTAATAATCTATATAAAAATATATTTATGTTCATTTAAACAAAATTAATTCCAGAGAAATCGTTTAATTAATCAGTTTCTTTGCTCTTAAGTTTCTAATATTGCAGTCCTATTTCTTCAAGCTTTTCATGTGAGGCTCTCAGATACCTTTGTTAAGTGATCGTATTTCACCAACTTCGTCTTGAAATAGCCATTGACGTCGCCGTTTTTGTCGTTCTGTTGCTAATCTTTTTCTTCCGAGAGATTTTCACATTTCACTGTTAAACACAACATTTTTAACATGACAAGATATTGAGCAAAAAGCGATTTATATAATAGCAGAAGTAATGAACGAATCATAGCTACCATTGAACGTCTAAAAAAATATAAACGGGAATGGATTAATTAAACGGTCCGTTGCCCTCTTTATTAATTGTGTAATATTTATCTCCGCTTTATTGAATCTCAATACATTGTTTCAAGAACTTTGCTTCATTGCATCTCACTATTAAAACTTTCTTGGCTGCACAGGTATATACTAGTTTGCAATTAATAAAGATAAGGAAACTGTGGACAGGTATGATTGCCTTAAATGACCTGGCTTTAAAACAAATCTTGGGTGGAAAATAATTATATGAATTCACACAAATAATGAATATGTGGAGAGCCAAGATCGACTACATTATTAAGAGATAAATTATTAACCCATTAACTGCCAATTTTTTTAATGAGCATTTTTGGCCCAGACAGGTGTCTTAGGAGTTTATTTATTCCTTATATTTAATTTCAGTAGTTACCATTGTCATTCTTATAGAAACTAGAACATCAAATATATATGTATAAAACATCAAAAAATAATATTGATTAGAAATAATAAAAAATACTTTTGAAAATATTCATTATTTTTCTACTCGTGAAATGTAAAATTACGACCGAAAGTGTCTTCTTACGGTTAATAATAAAAACTTTAAAGGCTAAGTGTTGTAAAATATACCTCTGCAAATGCAATGTATGCAAGCAGTTCAATGTAAATACAAAGAATAACATGTAGTGAGTTTAATTTTAACAGATCCTCAAATGGGGCTCATGGCAGGCAATGCTACATTTTCTAATTAGATAAAAGATTGCTTACGAGATGTTTAAACCAGAAACTGAGCTTTTTTTATTGATTCAGCTTAAGCGCGATCAACCTGAACAGACTGGCCACAAAGCTCACACGACTAAGACAATCTCTATTCATTTGTGTTTGGGTTAAGGACTTTCTGACATTTCGTCGACAATCAGAATAGGCCCGCACATATCCTTCACTGTCATTCTCAGCGTCGGTACCCCACAGGGATGTATATTAAGCCCTCTTCTGTACACCATCTACAGGTTGCGATGGATAGATAGGCGTCTAAATGACGCAAGAATGAAACTAATACTGATATGTCGTTCCAACAGATATATTTACAAAATTGCACAAAAATATCTTGAAATACTAAAGAGTAAATTTATTCAATAAAGTCGACACTGATTCTAACCACGGCCTTCAGACAACTTTAGAATCTCCTGCAACTCTTCTGGGCGGTCTCCTTGTTTAAGTTGGTGAATGCTGCCATAATCCTTGGATCCAGTTCAGGTTTGGTGTTACTAAGAAATTTGTTGGTCTCTCACTCAACAGCGCCCCTCACATAATAATCAAGGTTGTTTTCAATCTGGGGAGTTAAGTGGACAGATGTAAGGTGTGATGTGGTTGCAGAAATTGTCCTTTTGCCAGACAGAGCAACCCTCTTGACCCAGGGCAGCACCTTCTCCTCAAGGCACTTGATGTAGGCCTCCGTGTTGAGTCTGAAGACCTCATGAAAAAATTCGGGAGTTCTTTTCTTACCAGGGCGATCAGAGTGAGTTTTCCGTGCTGCTGTACCTTCATAATCACCATTAGACTCATCCATCTCTTTCCGAATCCTCTGCACTGTCCTCAGATTGACATTCTACCACTCTGAATTCTTCGGGTTCTTTTGCGGACAAGTGGGGGAACCACACATTTTAACTCGAAGAAAAAAAAAAAAAAAAAAAATTCTCTGCATTCATTGGTTGTTTAAGTGCTTCCTAACCGGAAGCTGGAACAAGCATGAATCAGCACATTGAGGACGGTAAGTGCGACTCGAAAATCCGAAAACTCATTGCGATGGCCAGAGATGTCTTCCAAAAGCTAAGCAAAGTAGTATGAACAAGAAACGTTTTACTGAACTGTTAAGTAATATCTTGAGGAACAACTTTTATCCTTTGGTTCCGATTAAATACATATTATCGTCTAAAAGAACACTATTGCTTGAAATTCCGGCGCAAATGCCAAGCCTCAGAACATGGCTTGTCCAAATTTCTGGTAGGAGTGAATTGCGTCATGGTGCGTTTTTTTTATGCGCAGATGGTACGCAACTGAGTCTCCTATACTGTGCAGTCGACAAAATAAAAAACAAAGAAAGCGCATGCGCGAAATTAAATACATAAAATAGCGACAATTTACCCATCGTACACTTGTGATTGTACCTATATCCATCTCACAATCACGATCATTACTTTTGCGTACCACGCTACTCTTTTCGGGAAGGGGGATGAAGTGGACTATAGCAGTGAAATATAAATAAATTGTCTTAATGGAGTTTAGGAGTATAGACTTTAACCACGTTAGAGACAAACGAGATAGTGTTGGACGGTTATTGATATTTTTTGTTGAGAAGGATTATAGATGTTGCCGAGAAAATAACCGACTCCTCGCTGCACTCTTTGGAGCACATCTATAATTCCCTTTCTCGCAGCAGAGCAGAAAACATAATGAAAGACAGCGCGCATCCCAGGTACTGCTTGTTTGAACTGTTACCGCGAGGCAGCGTTTTAGTTCTAGTAAAAAGCGCTTGAGGAACAGCGGGGGCTCGGGCTATTTTTGTTCCTATCCCGGGTGTACGCGCTCGGCCTCCCCACATTAAACCGATTTTGTGTTACAACCTGAATTCGTGGGAGGTTGAGTAAATACAAATTTCTCTCGAGTAGTTTATACTATTTATCATCTCTCAGTTGCGCCTCTGTCTTTGGGCAGAGTGCCCCCAGGGGCGGCTCCGTCAAAGGACGGAGTTACAACTGAAGAAAGTCATACTGAGAGGTGGCCAGCTGCTCAAGGCCGCGCTTTATTATTGCACCAGAGAGAGAAAGGGATCGGTGCTCGCAGCGAGACCAGCGCAACCGACAGTTGTGGAGGCTTGGGGAATTTTTGTTCTTTGCCCGAATGAACACGCTCGGACTCCCCACATTAAACCGACCTTGTGTCACAACGCGACTTCATGGCGCGGGGGGTCGAGCTAATGCCAAATTACTATAAAGTAGAGCTGAGGCTTTTTAATCTCAGAATTCACGGGAGAATTGGGCCCCAATTTCGCATTTATTCATATAGATTCCATTATATAGTTTTAACTTAATTAGCTAATATGTTTCTTTATGTTTCCTCAAATGTTGAATGTATAACTATTTCTAAATTTCGATTTTCCCATCTTTACACTATATTAATTTTATCCCATAAATTGTCCTCTGTTCTAACACCCATGAAATAAAAAGAATTGTTTGTACGGAAAATAAAGATCTACCTACATCAAATCGTCTTTAAATTAACTGGTAGCAGATGAATTATCGTTGAACTTTTAAAAGGTAAGCTTAAACATTAATTCAGTACTTAAATTCAGCAATCAATTTTGAGTTCTTCTGTAGTTTATTGATACTTATCGCATCTGCTCCCCCCTAGCTATTGAGATGATGGTCAAACCAAGAGTCCTCTACAGAAGCTAGCTTAAACGGCGGTCGATAGGGTGGCTTTTAAGCTGTTTATAATAAAACGTGCACTGTAATTTTGGATACAAAATGAAAATGTCACGTCTGTGAGAAAATGACTGTAGTCGAGATGCCAGATCAGGACCTATCACATGAATTTCTTTATTTTCTTTTTCTCTGTCTGCTATGGCAAACATTTCCGATGTTTTTTTTTTATATTCTCTTTTTAGAAAATAATAACTTCATTTTCGTTCTTCCGAGTTTATTATAAATGTTGGTGTTTTTATCTTTTCCAGCAGGCAGATACTAACAAAACCGCTCGGTATATATTTGGTAAGCAAATAACATGATATTTCGAAAACAATTATATAGAGATATAGGCTTTACCTACCAGGAAGTAAGCTGTACGACAGCAGTAACAGCTGACAATATGGCTATAATATCCGTGTGTGAAAGTGTTGAACGTAAAAACTAAAAAATCAAAAAACAAACTGGATAAATGATACAGACTTAACTACAGGTGAACTGGAATATACCGACATAATATTTGTTTCTCCTCCTTGTCTTTCCATTAAACTTTGCCTCCCTTCTATTTCTTCCTCCTTCTCGACTTCTTGCACTTTTTCTCCTCATTCTAATACTACTTATCTCACACTTATTTATTTCTTTCTTGCCCTCATCCTCTTTCCTCATCCTTTTCCTCTTTTTTTCCCTCTATCTTTCTTTACCTACTGGTTCTGCTCCTACTTTTTCCTCATTCACATCATCCTTCTCCTGATTTCCCGCTATCATCTTTCACCTCCACCCACCTTTTTCCTGTTCATCCTCCTCCTATCTCCTCCTTCACATCTCTTGGTAAGTACCTATCACTTTACTACCACTACTACTTGTTTTCCTCTTACCGTCACCTCCTAATGTCCTCCATTTTCTTTTTAAATGCCTTCAACGCTTTTATCCTTCTTCATGAGACACTAACAACAGACGACTCTAAACACTTCTTTACCACATCCAAGATATTTTCGCTTCCGCTTCCGGTCGATACCGTCATTGGTGTTTTATATTCAACTTCTAGTTTACAAACCTACTCTTTTCTACAGACAATAATATCTTTTCTTTTTCCGATTATGACACTTTCAAAGTAAAATATATTTAAAAGATGGAAATAATAACAAAAAGTAGTCGATATTTTAAGCTATGGAAGCCGACACTAATACTGCTTCTCGACTGCAAATGAAAAATTAAAATTTAATCAGAGTGCATTTCAATGATCATTCGTGTTTATTGAAGATCTCTTCCTGATTATTCAGACTCACTTCTTTGCTTATCCGACGTTGCAAATCGAGAACCTGACAAATCAAGGTATTTCCAAACGAATGGCAGTGTGGCTATTTGGACAGAATCTGTTAAATAATCATTATTTCAATAAAGAACGTAAGTTACATATCAACGAATGGGACTTAAAATCATAGAACACTTGAGAGTTTGTTTGTTTTTTACATTTTAAACAAAAGTGTCATTGTGAAAAAAAGAAAACACGCACTTGATATTTCACGCCAGAACTGCTCCCACAAGAATATGTAAATTACCATATATACTCGGGTATAGTGCGTGATTTTATTAACACTTTTGGCGCTGAAAGCCGGTCTTTTCTGTTAATTAATCTCAAAAGAATTGATAGTGACTAAAATTCACACCCAAATCTCCCAGAGCGATGCTCTTCCATTGCCCTCCGGTTGGGTTGACGTTTGCGAAGACCGCAAAATGTGGGCGACTCGGGTGCGCTATTTCTAAGTGTGGGGTCTGCATACGCGTTCACCCCGATAAACAAGCCAAAGACAGATATTCTTCTTTTTTTTTTAAATTGTAAAACATTCCTTCATCTGTGAGAAGATCGTCCAGCATCCACTGCCATATAGGAGGACTGATATTACATAAAATGGTAAGTACTGTTTTCTTTGTTTCTCTTGCTTCAAGTCTCTTCTTCATATGGCAGGAGATTATCCAGCATTCACTGCCATATAGGAAGACTGATATTACATAACAGTTCAGGACTCTTTTCTTTGTTTCTCTTGCTTCAAGTCTCTTCTTCATCTGTGAGGAGATCGTTCAGCATTCACTGCCATATAAGAGGACTGATATTATATAACAGTTCAGTAATCTTTTCTTTGTTTCTCTTGCTTCAAGTCTCTTCTTCATATGGGAGGAGTCCAGCATTCACTGCTTGGCGGGGAAGACCATAACAGTTCAGGACTTTCTTTTGTTTCTCTTTATAAGTCTCTTCTTCATAGGAGATTATCCAGCATTCACTGCCATAAAGACTGATATTACATAACAGTTCAGGACTTTCTTTTGTTTCTCTTGCTTCAAGTCTCTTCTTCATATGGCAGGAGATTATCCAGCATTCACTGCCATATAGGAAGACTGATATTTAAAAACATAACAGTTCAGGTCTCTTCTTTTCAGGAGATTATTGTTTCTCTGCCATATAGGGAAGACTGATATTACATAACAGTTCTTCAAGTCTCTTCTTCATATGGGAGGAGATCGTCCAGCATTCACTGCCATATAGGAGGACTGATATTATATAACAGTTCATATAGGAACTTTTTTCATAACAGTTTTGTTTTTCTTTGTTTTCAAGTCTCTTCTTCATATCAGGAGATTCATTCATGGGAGGACTGATATTACATAACAGTTCAGGACTCTTTTTCTTTTTGTTCTCTTGTTTCAAGTCTCTTCTTCATGGCAGGAGATTATCCATATCACTGCCATATAGGAGGACTGATATTACATAAAATGGTCAGGACTCTTTTCTTTGTTTCTCTTGCTTCAAGTCTCTTCTTCATATGGGAGGAGATTGTCCAGCATTCACTGCCATATAGGAGGACTGATATTACATAACAGTTCAGGACTCTTTTCTTTGTTTCTCTTGCTTCAAGTCTCTTCTGGGAGGAGATTGTCCAGCATTCACTGCCATATAGGAAGACTGATATTACATAAAGTTCAGGACTCTTTTTCTTTGTTTCTCAGCAAGTCTCTGCTTCATATGGGAGGAGATTGTCCAGCATTCACTGCCATATAGGAAGACTGATATTAACAGTTCAGGACTCTTTTCTTTTGTTTCTTTCTCTTTTCATCTGGGAGGAGATTGTCCAGCGTTCACTGCCATATAGGAGGACTGATATTACATAAAAGGTCAGGACTCTTTTTTTTCTTTGTTTCTCTTGCTTCAAGTCTCTTCTTCATATGGCAGGAGATTGTCCAGCATTCACTGCCATATAGGAGGACTGATATTACATAAAATGGTCAGGACTCTTTTCTTTGTTTCTCTTGCTTCAAGTCTCTTCTTCATATGGCAGGAGATTATCCAGCATTCACTGCCATATAGGAAGACTGATATTACATAACAGTTCAGGACTCTTTTCTTTGTTTCTCTTGCTTCAAGTCTCTTCTTCATTCAAGATTCTCAGCATTCACTGCCATTAGGAATCTGATATTACATAACAGTTCAGGACTCTTTTCTTTGTTCTCTTGCATTCACTTCATATAGGAGGAGGACTGATATAGGAAGACTGATATTACATAACAGTTCAGGACTCTTTTCTTTGTTTCTCTTGCTTCAAGTCTCTTCTTCATATGGGAGGAGATTGTCCAGCATTCACTGCCATATAGGAGGACTGATATTACATAAAATGGTCAGGACTCTTTTCTTCCTTCAAGTCTCTTTTTGTTTCTCTTGCTTCAAGTCTCTTCTTCATATGGCAGGAGATTATCCAGCATTCACTGCCATATAGGAAGACTGATATTACATAACAGTTCAGGACTCTTTTCTTTGTTTCTCTTGCTTCAAGTCTCTTCTTCATATGGCAGGAGATTATCCAGCATTCACTGCCATATAGGAGGACTGATATTACATAAAATGGTCAGGACTCTTTTCTTTGTTTCTCTTGCTTCAAGTCTCTTCTTCATATGGCAGGAGATTATCCAGCATTCACTGCCATATAGGAAGACTGATATTACATAAAATGGTCAGGACTCTTTTCTTTGTTTCTGTTGCTTCAAGTCACTTCTTCATATGGCAGGAGATTGTCCAGCGTTCACTGACATTATAGGAAGGACTCAGGGACTTTTTCTTTGTTTCTTTGTTTCAAGTCTCTTCTTCATATGGCAGGAGATTGTTTCACTGCCATATAGGAGGACTGATATTACATAACAGTTCAGGACTCTTTTCTTTGTTTCTCTTGCTTCAAGTCTCTTCTTCATATGGCAGGAGATTGTCCAGCATTCACTGCCATATAGGAAGACTGATATTACATAACAGTTCAGGACTCTTTTCTTTGTTTCTCTTGCTTCAAGTCTCTTCTTCATATGGGAGGAGATTGTCCAGCGTTCACTGCCATATAGGAGGACTGATATTACATAAAATGGTCAGGACTCTTTTCTTTGTTTCTCTTGCTTCAAGTCTCTTCTTCATATGGGAGGAGATTGTCCAGCGTTCACTGCCATATAGGAGGACTGATATTACATAAAATGGTCAGGACTCTTTTCTTTGTTTCTCTTGCTTCAAGTCTCTTCTTCATATTGTTTGCCATATAGGAGGACTGATATTACATAAAATGTTCAGGACTCTTTTCTTTGTTTCTCTTGCTTCAAGTCTCTTCTTCATATGGCAGGAGATTATCCAGCATTCACTGCCATATAGGAAGACTGATATTACATAACAGTTCAGGACTCTTTTCTTTGTTTCTCTTGCTTCAAGTCTCTTCTTCATATGGGAGGAGATTGTCCAGCGTTTGCCATATAGGGACTGATATTCATTTGACTCTTTTCTTTGTTTCTCTTGCTTCAAGTCTCTTCTTCATATGGGAGGAGATTGTCCAGCGTTCACTGCCATATAGGAAGACTGATATTACATAACAGTTCAGGACTCTTTCTTTTTTCTTTGTTTCTCTTTGGCTTCATAAAAAGTCTCTTAAGAGGATCTCTTCTTCATATGGGAGGAGATTGTCCAGCATTCACTGCCATATAGGAGGACTGATATTACATAAAAGTTCAGGACTCTTTTCTTTGTTTCTCTTGCTTCAAGTCTCTTCTTCATATGGGAGGAGATTGTCCAGCGTTCACTGCCATATAGGAGGACTGATATTACATAAAATGGTCAGGATTAGTCTCTTCTTAAATTGCGTTCACTGCCATATAGGGACTGATATTACATAAAATGTTTCTTTTCTTTTGTTTCTCTTGCTTCAAGTCTCTTCTTCATATGGCAGGAGATTATCCAGCATTCACTGCCATATAGGAAGACTGATATTATAACAGTTCAGGACTCTTTTACAAGTCTCTTCTTCATATGGGAGGAGAGCATTCACTGCCATATAGGAAGACTGATATTACATAACAGTTCAGGACTCTTTTCTTTGTTTCTCTTGCTTCAAGTCTCTTCTTCATATGGGAGGAGATTGTCCAGCGTTCACTGCCATATAGGAGGACTGATATTACATAAAATGGTCAGGACTCTTTTCTTTGTTTCTCTTGCTTCAAGCATTCACTGCCATATCTGATATTCTAACAGTTCAGGACTCTTTTCTTTGTTTCTCTTGCTTCAAGTCTCTTCTTCATATGGCAGGAGATTATCCAGCATTCACTGCCATATAGGAAGACTGATATTACATAACAGTTCAGGACTCTTTTCTTTGTTTCTCTTGCTTCAAGTCTCTTCTTCATATGGGAGGAGATTGTCCAGCGTTCACTGCCATATAGGAGGACTGATATTACATAAAATGGTCAGGACTCTTTTCTTTGTTTCTCTTGCTTCAAGTCTCTTCTTCATATGGCAGGAGATTATCCAGCATTCACTGCCATATAGGAGGACTGATATTACATAAAATGGTAAGTACTCTTTTCTTTGTTTCTCTTGCTTTAAGTCTCTTCTTAAGTATACATTGCTTTGTTTCTAAGTTTTTATCTGTTTTTTTTTTCAGCTTTGGGATGGCATCTTTCGCTATCCCGGTGTATCTTCGGATTTCGGTACCTTACATTCCACTTAAAAAACTTCTTAGATATTTCAATATATTGCTCACTTGATTTTGGCATCTCGAATTAGCATGTTCGACTCTTTATATTACTGACACCCATACATTTTGTCTTTTTACGCTTGTTTATTCCATTCGAGTCGATTTTCTTTACTACCTTTTGCAGGAATTCTTGTATTTTCCTTCCTGTATCATCCTGTCACCTGTGCGACGAAAGACATAAGATAAAGTGAGGTAAAGAGAACAACGGAAGACCAGGTAAGTTTTATTGTAAACAAAAAAAAAGGTTTTATTATAATTTTCATCATTATGGTCAGGTGCTAAAAAGGAAAAACAAGAGAAATGTTTACCGGCAAGAAGGTAGTAATACTTCAAAATAACGTCAATCGGGATTTGTTGAGTTTTTGTGGTATACTTTACATGTCAGGTCAGCGAATGAAACAAACTTCTCTGAATCAGATTTCTCCAACAACTGATTTCGCCAGGCAACTTGCTTAATTTTGGCGCCAACCAACGAATATAGATGGCCGAATGAAAAACTTCACTTCATTCGACCACATCAATTAACCCAGAACTTGGTGAGGTTGGCAGTGTAGATTCGGAGAAAGTAGTGGCTGTTAAGTAATTCTTTAAGTCTTCGATATCAGGTTGGCAGTGGAGATATTTTGGGAGAAAAAAATGGCTGCCTTTATACACGTCGGATTGAATATTTTGAGCTTTCTGATTGGTTAACCCTTCTATTGGTAAACTATAAAATGAGTCAGCTCATTTTGACTGGCTCACTAGTACCAACGTACCCAAAAACTGTAACAGTTACATTGATAAAAATAGATTCTCGTAAAAATGTTCATATCTAGGATTTTGGTTAGGATTTTAACACCATTAATGAATTCAGGTAGGATTTCTAATTCAGTCAGAATGCCTCACTGTAAATCTGAATACGTCCGGTGAGGAAATATATCGTGGCCTTTCTATTTTCGTGTGTTTACTGAATTCATTTTCTATCCATATGCATAAGTTCTGTAATATTCTAATACCATTTCCCAAATATATCAAGCTTACCTAACAGCTCCAACAGTTATTTGTGACATACTTTATCAAGTGCTTTAACTAATCTATCAAACATAGGTATATAGCAAATTCTTTATTTGTATTAAGGGCTTAAAATCTTTCTCCTTTACTCACAGGAGGCCTTAGAGACAGAACGCGTCTCATTTCCTCTATGAGCGATGTTTGAGTCGCCAGCGAATTTAACTCTACACTGGGCACATGTTTCCACAGAATACAAATTACTTAGCTTACTTGACTGTATGAAGGCCTATCTAACAAGTTGACTAAAGCAACAAATAACTTTTTCAAAATATACGCCTCTCACAATTTACACTATTGACATTGTTCGAACTGTAGTCCTCATCTTTATTGCCATAATCACAACGTTTCGGTCGTTGTATGATCCGGCCTTCTTCAGGTGATATACGTTGAAATTTTGACCTGAGCCCTTTATTTAGTCCACGGGGGTAGATTGTTCTAGTTCCACGTGTCATGCCTTGAGATATCACAGTTTTAGTTAATTCACCTTGTTAACTGGACTATTCAAATTTTTGTTCCTCTGCTTGGCCAGGTATTTCAGAACACTTTCAAACCCCAATTTCAGGATCACTCAACCAACGCTTTTTAGGGGACATTAGTGAGGAATTTTTGGGACTTAGCGAAAACCATTTCTCACAGAATAACTTTTTTTTTTACCAGAGCTCATGTTAACAAGAATTAAGAAGACAGATAACGACACGGTAAGAACATTTGCTAAACGTAAACCTGTAGGAAAACTTGCCTCAGGAATCTAGAACCACGTAAGGGATATCACAGTTTTAGTTAATTCACCTTGTTAACTGGACTATTCATGTTTTTGTTCCCTCTGCTGTGGCCAGGTATTGAACTCAGAACACTTTCGGCCAAGATACTTTAGGATCACTCAACCAACGCTTTTAACGCAGGGGACATTAGTGAGTGAATTTTTGGGACTTATAAACCTAATTTCTCAGTAACTCTATTTTTTACCAGAGCTCATGTTACATGAATTAAGAAGACAGATAACGACTGACGGTTCTAAGAACATTTGCCGTAAACATTTTTGCTGTAGGAAAACTTGCCTCATCAATTTTCGCCGTATAGGATTTTTTTTTGCTGTATAGGATTTTTGCCGTAAGACAATTTCGCCGCATTTTTTTATATGCGAACTACCTTGCTATCAAGTATAGCTGGCTCACACTATTGTTACTTCAATTTAAACATTTTAATAATCGAAGTTATAGGATTAAAATCCTACATCATTCATCCCCGTCAGTGTGGAGCGCAAAATTTTCAACTTGACAGCAGAACTTAGGTTATGCAATTTCATATTTTAGACTTAGCGTTAAACTTTTTGTTAAAATAATATCAGTCTGTCAATAATTCTCAATCAAGCAATATATATTATTTCAAACTGACAACTTCAATACGCAACCAACTTCAATATAAAATATCTGTTCAAAGAAAGATAGTCCTTTATGCATTCAGTAAGTCTTTTGAACTTTACACAAATTATTTGCAAACGTAAACTGTTTTAAATTCACTATAAATACCTAGTGAAATATATTTCAACATACATTATAACAACACACCACCTTTTGGTCTAAAGTATAATTGTATAGCGAAGAAAAATGGCGACTTACCTCGACAAACCAAACGACAGCGCGTCGCGTGTATCCTACGACGGAAAATGTGGCGAAAAAGAAAATTACTTATAAAAAAAGGGCATGTATTCCGCATTACATGCTGAAGACGGAATATTTAAATTAAAAAAAAAAAAAAAAAAAAAAAACATGTCCGTCGCAGGGGCCGCTATAAACGTATTTTGATATGCTAAAATTGGGCGTATTCACCCAGTTGTCGACGAATAGCAAAGATGCTTGGTCGATAGTTGGTCTTCTCGAATCGGGGAACAATTCGTGTATTTTGGCTACTGCGTTTGTTTGAGAATGACTTATTTTTCTGACTGGTTACGTGCATTGTGATTTGTGAGATAGTACCTGCGAATCGAGTTTTCGGCATTTCTTTTTGCCCCCGATATTCGAGTCTGAACTTAGTGATTTATTCTTTGCGTTGTGAAAGTAATCTGCGACAAATATTTCCTTTGCAATCTCAGATCGATTACAAATTGATATTCAATTCATCAAACAGAAAAACGTTTAAACAATTTAAAATCCCATCTTGTTATATAATTAAAATATTAACTTGAACATTCTTCCAAAAGGGACGGCCAAGATAAGAGTATCGAAAAAAAAAAAGCGGCAAAATTGTCTTACGGCAAAATCATCTTACGGCGAAAACTCCCGAGGCGAGTTTTCCTACGGCAAAAATGTTTAACCCAGATGGTTAATGGTCCGGATACGATGACTGACATTCGATTTAAATTTCCCAAGATCAAAGTTTACAGGGAAACAAGAGGGCGGGAGGGAGTTCCACAAGCGAAAAATGAGAGAGAAAAAACTATTAGCATAGAACGTACAGTTACATAGTGAAAAGTTCATTAGAACAATTACCATTTGTAAGTATTTACAGAAAAGAGAAGCTATGTTATTGTGTTGGGAAAGAGATTCTTTTTTCGATTTCAATGAGGATTTCTAAAGTTATAGGAGGAACACCAGACTAGATGTGGCATCAATCTGCTTTGTCGCTCCTACTATATATTTCAAATGAAAACTTCTGTGTCAATATATGCCTGGCCGACGGTATCAGTGTATGTGTCTTTTAGGAAGCCTTACTAATCCTTGTTGATGTCGCGTGGGTAGACACATTTGTTTTTGTTCAATATTCACAGAGCCAATACATGGTTTATATTGCACCAATTCGAAGCGGACCTCAATTATTGTTTCTGCGAGATAATGCATAATCAGGCGTGATCGTGAGTTTGAAAAATGGTAATAGCTTGATCACGAAGACGTATGTCTGCTAAAATCTGATACTGCCACTCTTTATTTCTCATTAAATATATCTCTTCAATAATTGGTAATCTAACAGATATTTTGGCAATATTATAGGATTGTTTTGAGACCGGATGAAAAATATTTTGAAAAATACATTATTTCTTTGTGTGTAATAAATACGCATTTGAAGAAAGAATTTCATGTGATAAAACTTTGGACGTGAGCAAACCAAATGAAAGTCGATAGATGAATTATTCTAGTTGTTTAAGAAATAAATCCTAAGATTCAAGATTTTGTCTCCAAGAAGGTTATCAATTTAAATATGCATTACCCAACATTTATTATGATACTGTTTGCTGCCGTACGTCGATAATTCTCAGAAAATAACCACTTTTAAGGATTTATTATTTAGATAGGGTTTTCGAAAAGTTCAGAAGAAAATTTGACAGAAAATACACAGCAATATTCTGAAAGTTTACTGTTCATTATCTATCTATCTATCTATCTATCTATCTATCTATCTATCTATCTCATTCTATGTATACATGTATATACACTTGTATATATGTATCTATTTTATTTTTTCATTATCTATCTGGATATATTTATATCTATTTATCTCTATTTATATCTATCTATTATCATATCTATCTCTCAATCTCAGTCTATTCACATCTCTCTCTCTCAGTCTATTGACATCTATCTATCTATCTATCTATCTATCTATCTATCTATCTATCTATCTATCTATCTATCTAATACAGTCTAATCATGTATATCTATCACGATCTGTTCATTATTTATTTATGTATGTATTTAACAGTCTATTCATATCTATCTATCTATCTATCTATCTATCTATCTATCTATCTATCTATCTATCTATCTATCTATCAAAGACTATTCATATATATCTACCACTGTCTGTTCATTATCTATCTCAATCTATTTATATATATCCATCATTATCTATCTATCTATCTATCTATCTATCTATCTATCTATCTATCTTTTTATTACAGTCTATTTATATATGTCTATCACTGTCTATTCATTATCTATCTATCTATCTATCTATCTATCTATCTATCTATCACAGTCTATTCACATCTCTCAATCTGTCTATTCACATCTATTTCTCTCAGTCTATTCACATCTATCTATCTATCTATCTATCTATCTATCTATCTATCTATGTCTATTCATATCTATTTATCTCTATTCATATCTATCTATTTTCATATCTATCTATCTCTATTCATATCTATTTACATCTATCATATCTATCTATTTTCATATCTATCTATCTATCTGTCTATTCATATCTATCTCAGTCTATTCATATCTATCTATTCTATCTATTCTATCTATCTATTCATTCATCTATCTATCTATCTATCTATCTATCTATCTATCTATCTATCTATCTCATTCTTTTCTTACCTATCTATCGATCTATCTATATATCTGTCTCAGTATGTATGAACTTTGGGTAATCTAAATTCGAGAAGAATGAGTTTAGATTACAGCATTCAACCTTGCTTAATCGGTGATGTCCTTAATGGCCGAGTTGGTTAAAAGCATGTCGGCTCTAACAACGATTTCTCCTGAAAAGAATGACGTATGTTCGAATGCTGCCGGTGGTCCCATTTTTATTGAATAAGACTTCTCGAATATTGAGGCCGGTAGAAAAAAATTAAAATATACTGCATAAAATGAACATATCAAATTATATATATATATATATATATATATATATATAAAACCATAAAAACAAAAAAAAAAAAAACAAATGGAAACTACAGATTATGTTCATTACTTCAGAGACAGTCATTCTCATGTAGTTCACTAACAAGCAGGAATTTTATTTGTCCTGATGATGACCAAGTTGGCTGAAACTATTCGATTAACTAAATTAATAATATATATATATATATATATATATATATATATATATATATATATTACGCATAATTTCTATGAAAATTTCTCGGAGACATTTAGGTTGTAAATGTTATTAATACTGTTTATTATAAACGGATCATTTACTTAAATATTTGTATATATAAAAAAGAACATATACACATATATATATATATATATATATATATATATATATATATATATATATATATATATATATATATATATATATATATTAAAATTGCATGTATATAAATATAAATATATAATATAAATATAAATATATATATATATATATATATTATATTATGGTACTTTTATTAGAAAGCGCTCAATATCAGAGATAGAACTAACATAGTTGGTTGGATTGATGTGAGTTTGTCACAAACTCACATCAATCAACTAAAAACTAAATATATATATATATATATATATATATATATATATATATGTGTGTGTGTGTGTGTGTGTGTGTGTGTGTGCTGTGTGTGTGTTTAGGCAACAAATGTTTTTAAAGCAAATATTAAAAACAACAGACATTTTGTGTCTATTAATTTTATTGATCAACTTTTTCAAATTACAAATAATCCGGACAAGAATGAAATTCTGTCAGAAATTGTCCGATGTTCATTTCGGAAGAAATGTACAGGAAATACTATCTAAATTTTAGACTTTCTAAAGTCAACATCATCGTAGCTAGAGACAATTTGCGAGTCTCGTAGAACTAGTGAGTATTGTAGACAAATAATGTAGACAGTGTTGAGACGTAGGAAAAAAGCTGTTGTGACGTAGGCGAGAGCTGATGTTTTTTATATATATACATTTTATTTATTTTTTTTATTGATTGCTGTTTTTGTTGTACGAGTAATACTTCAAGTACCATAAGTCAGTTTTTACTATTTGGGTTTGCTAGTAAATTTGTAACGTTTGTGAGTACCTATGCTACTATTGTCCTTGTCCAATTAGTCGAGCTAACTCGGACATTCAGCACGATCCTGCATCCAGTTCGAAAGGTCATTTAGGTGGCATTCTGTGTCATAACATAGTTGGTCAATGGAGTTGATTGCTGGGTGACGAAGCCCAACTTGCGTCATGGCTAGGTGTCCAGAACAGCAAATCACCTGTAAGTAACTGTTTCACTAACCAGCAGCGTTGGGCAAAATGCATCTTAGGTTCGCGTAAGATTGTAGATATATTAAGGATTGATCGATAGAGTTGTGATTTCGTTGGACGTTCTTTCCAAGAGATGTTAAGTATGACGTTCAGAATCTGCCTAGTTATTAATGTCACACACTATTGATATTCTTAACTGATGAATTACACCTAAAGACTAATCGTATAGGTTTTTATTTATCTGTTAGCGAAGCGACTTCATTTTGAAGAAATGTCTTTTTATGTGCCAGCAGACAGCATGTCCGCGTGAGACCTTGTTGTGTGAATGAGTTCTCATGTCTTAAGCTGTCTTAATCTACCTGTGTTTCTGATTAGGTTAATACCTCTCGTTTTATTTACTTCTCAGCAGTTTACCTGTCGGACTGACGACAGCTTTTGAACAACGTTAGTGCATACGTCTTACAGAGCTAATAATCCAACAGCTGTCTTCCAAATACAATCAACCGTCTGACTTCTGGATTGGAGCCAAGACTCAGAAAATATAGTCTTGATAAATATAACACATTGGCTTTGTTGAGTGCTAGACACTACAGATGAATAAAACGATATGTACTAAAAATTCGTCATCGAAAATTTCTTTAGCTGAGCTAATTTTTCTTGACAAATGAAGAAAAACTATGAACATATTCTTGAACATAAAAGAAAGTTTTAATAGCCAAATACACCAGTCTTTTTCGTCTTCTTTTCAGCAAGCAAAAGATTTTAAGGTGAATTCCTTACAATTCCTGACACTTAATTTTTTTAAAAAAGGTTATAATTACTATTACTGCCATATATGGTCAGGAGCCCCTTCTGTTTGTCTCGGGGCTCTTGATAAGATCCAGAGACGAATATGCAATATAATTGGCCCTGATCTGGCATCTCGACTACAGTCGCTCTCTCGGAGACGTGCCGTCGCTTCTTCCTGTCTTTTTTACATATACTGTCATGGTAACAGTTCCGATGAGCTGCTTTCGCTGGTTCCCAGACTTCATGAATTCAAGCGTCCTACGAGGCTGGCATCCTGTTCTCACCCTTTCACTGTTGAAACTGTTAAATATAGCCGTCTCTTCTACTCCAATAGCTTCATGTCTCGCATCTCTTGCCTGTGGAACTCTCTCCCCTTTTCCTGTTTTCCTGATATCTATAATCTTCAACTATTCAAATGTAATGTCAATCGACGTCTCCAGATCCCTTGATATATCCCCTATCCTTCTCTTTATCCTATCCTCTATCACTCCTATTTGCTCTCGCTCCAACTCTCTGTAATCCCTTGCGTGATAGTGGCTTCCCGCCTTGCTTGGGGTGAAATGCTTAAAAAAATCTCATTTCTTGATTATCGTGGTATGTATGTGCTTCCTTATTGTTGCTTGATTCAGCAGTAGCTGCAACGGAAATAAACAGGGAACAAAAAAAAAGTCACATAACTCATGAAAACGCTGAACGTACCTTATTCGGCCTCTCCTTTTTTTCACTTTTCCTTTTCAGTGGCCGCTACCTTCAACTTTGCAGAAGCCTTGCTTCAAAAGACTTGTACTCATCTTAGCAGCTTGAATCAGAGATTTCTTGTTTCTCGTGGGAACAAGGAGAGAAATCATTCTTCGAGAAGAACTGTTAACTATGAAACCCAACTTTTTTTACTCGCTAAAAAACACTGCCAAGAATAAAAGCTGTTAAACAATTATTTCTAGTCTTGGGTCTGTTAACTCTATTTTATACACTGCCTAGAACACAAACACGCATGCGCGTGCGCACAAGCAACCGGGAAAATATTCACATTTTCTACAAAACACCATATAGTATTTCTGTTTTCAAATTAGAAGCTAAAATTTAATTAAAATTGTTTCATTGTTCTTTTTATTCGTTCCAGAAATATCAGGCCCCATTGTTAACGCGTGAGTTCGCTATTTTAACCTCCCGAGTCAGCAAATCAAAAATTTGTAATATATTTCCATGATGCATAGATGACATGCTTTATAGATCGTTTTTATATATATATATATATATATATATATATATATAAGGTTGAAAAATGTATCATTCAAGAATGATAATGGCAAAATTCAGACGCAATTTTATATGAAACAGTTCGAAAATGTCTATTGTCGCTCAAAAACAATGAATTAAATGAATATAAATATTACATTGCACATCATCATCATTTCTCGACTGTAGTTGGAATCATGCACCTAATGCAAACGACCCTTTCTATAGCTGCATAGTATGTGCTACGTCAGGGCTACATACAGTTTTGAATTCAGAGTTACTTTCACCTCAACCCAAGGCTAGAGTAACCAGTCTGTTCTGCTATATACCTATAGATGAGATCTATCTACCTATCGCATTTTGTTAGTATATATATATCTATCGCTCTATCGCAGTCTGTTCGCATTTCTCTCTCTATCTCTATCTATCTATCTATCTATCTATCTATCTATCTATCTATCTATCTATCTTGACAGCCACAAACAGACTGTTTCGCTGCATCACAGCTCATCAGCGTGACGAGTCATCCGGTTGCCTCTAGCTAGGATCGAAAACCCGGCTGAATTGGGGTCAGTCGGAGATTCTACCACTAAGACGGCAGGGATAAAGGTGAATTTAAGCGTATTTATTTTTAGATATAAATACGGTGACAGAGAGAACTCTATTCATTTTATCGAAGAGTCTTGCATTATTAGACGTAATAGTCACTGTTTCCATTTACAGTGTATTTCTATATCTATCTCATCACAGTCATTCAACCGTAGTCGGGCTCTTTGAGCTAATGAAAGCGACCCTTTCCTTTAGCTGTATAGTATAGTTCTACGCCAAAATGCTACACACATTCTTGAATACAGAGTTACTTTCTCCTAGACACAAGGCTAGAGAACCCCATCTGTCCTGCTATTTACCCATAGATGGGATCTATCTACCCATCGCAGTCTGAGCGTATATATCTATCTCTCTATAGCAGTCTGTTCGCATCTACTACCCCTGTTCATTTTTCTATCTATCTATCTATCTATCTATCTATCTATCTATCTATCTATCTATCTATCTATCTATCTGTTGTAGCATAAATACGGACAATAATCGGTTTGTCAGCATTCACATAAATACAGTAGTAAATACTGTATGTTGGTCTGCAGTCATAGATTCATTGTGGAATTCACTTAACTCACTTCTAGCAGTTAACTACTTCTTTTACGCACCACTGTCGAATCTTATATGTGTTGTTCTTGTCCAAAGTATTATCTTTCATTACCAACCTTTGTGTGATTATTCTATTCAGTAACCTTCCCTAGGTTACAACAATATATATATATATATATATATATATATATATATATATATCACAGTTTGTTTCTATATCTATCTCAACATCATCATTCAACCATAGTCGGGATCATCGAGCGAATGCAAATGATCCTTTCTTTAGCTGTATAGTATGTGCTACACCAGGGCTACATACAGTTTTGAATTCAGAGTTACTTTCTCCTAGACCGGTTGCCACCAAGCTGGGGGAAAAGAGGATACATACCTTCCTCAGGGGTATTACCACGTAAATGAATGTAATGGATTCGACTGGATTTTGAACTCGGCTCTCCGGTTCCTCAATCCGATATCCATTACTCCACCTTGCGAAGTGGTATTTAACAGCAAAAAACCGTCATTAATTATCTTTTAGATAGTTCAGATATCCACAAACAGAAATCTATGATCTGCGTATGCAACATCCCATGTAGCTGTGCTTATGAGTATTACCAGTTGAACAGAAATCAAACGGCTCATTTCACTTGAGACTTGAGAATCCATGATTCACAACAATATAACCTGGCAGATTATATAAGTATCTATGCATTCAATAATACGTCCACATCTCATCTGGTGCTTACGTTCTGCATTTAGCGAATCTTGATAAAATCCAAAGAATCTGCAATGTTATCGATCCTGACCTGGCATTTCGGTTTCAGTCTTTCCTCACCGCCGTAATGTACCTTCTATACCTTTTCTATATATAGGGTGTCAATAAAGACTCTTTACAATTTAAAAATGTATTACAAAATCACATGAATATGTGGAAATTGTTACAAAATGAGGAATAGATATTGAAGTTTTTTTTTTCAAAGTCTGTCTATATTTCTGAGATGAGGTATTATGTACATTATTTACATTACTCGGACTACTGTCCTCATCTTTGTCGCCATATTTATCACAACGTTTCGGCTGTTATACGCTCCGGCCTTCTTCAGGTGGTTGGAATTTCGAACTCACCCTTTATTTCGCTCACTGGGGAAGACTGTTCTAGTTCCACGTGCCATATTTAATTGATGTCAATTATCAGTTATCTCTTGCTAATTTCCCTCTGAAAGTTCTCCACTGCCTTAACCGAGTATTGAACTCACACTCTTTGGGTCCTGTCACTGGATCTAACCAACGCCTTTATCCACTGTGACATGTGTCCTTTTTTTTCAACTAATCTAATTCATTCAAATCTAATTCATCTCAATGGTGGCAATGGAATCAGTGATTTTTTGCTGTAGATCAATGATATCCAGTATCTTTGCACGATACTCGACATCTTTAACCTAACCCTAGTGGATTGATATCTGGTGAACGAGGTGGCCAGGGAATTGGGCCATCATTTCCAGTCCCCCTGTGTGGAAATGTTAGGGGTTCATTTAACAATACCTCTTTCATCAACGGGATACCTGAAATGCAATGTGATTAAAAACTTTGATAACGACTAAGTACAAAGAACAAATCTCATTAAAATATCTCATCAATTGCCTTTGCAATATATTTTTTTAAATTGTAAAGAGACTTCATGGACACCCTTTTCATGGTAAAGGAGCTTTTATCTTTGCTACCTCGACTTCATGAATTTAAGCGCAGTACTAGATTGGCAACCAGGTCTCATCATTTTACAGTTGAAGTGCCTAGATGTATCCGTAACTTCCATGCTAACAGTTTCTTCTCTCGCACTTCTCAGCTGTGGAACTCTCTTCCGGAGTCTTGCTTTCCAGTTGTTGTAGCATACCTACGGACAAAATGGGTATGTCCCCATTCATATAAATACAGTAGTAAATACTGTATGTTGGTCTGCAGTTAGAGATTCGTCTCCAGATGTGCTGGTCAAACTCTATGCCTCCGGACAGAGCGGATCCCTGACGAGGCTATGTCGAAGGGCAGAGTCTCGTCTCAGGTAACAGCTACCCAACCCCGTTTTATACAGGGTCTACGGGGAATTTTTGGCCGAGCCAACGGATACCACACATTAAATTTGACATTGCGCCACATCTTACCGGGTGGGATGGTTGGTGGATATCCTCCTGTTACAGATTCGTCCCCAGCTGTGCTGGTCAAACTCTATGCCTCCGGACAGAGAGGATCCTCTGACGAGGCTATGTCGAAGGGCAGATTCTCGTCTGGAGAAACGGCTTTCCGACCCCGTTTTATACGGGGTCTACGAGGAAGTTTTGGTCGAGCCTACGGGCTCGGATAGCCCACATGAAATTCGGCTTTGTTCTACATATGACCGCGTGGGGCGGTTGGTAGATATCCTGTAGTTAGAGATTCATTGTGGAATTCACTTGACCCACTTATAGCAGTTGAGTACTTTTTCTACGCGCCGCTGACGAATTTTATGTGTTGTTCGTGTCCTAAGTATTATCGTTCATTACCAACCTTAGTGTGTTTACTCTATTCAGTAACATT